TGCCCATTATAGTGTACGCAAATACCTATATTATTCAAACTTTGCTCAGCCTCCTTAAAGTTTTAATAAGCACGTGTCTCTTGCAACTGCTGCCTACAGCATAGTTACTTATCATACAGCATGACAGTGCACAATATGACCTCAAGCTATCAAAAGCCTCTTTTTGCAAGACTTAATATTAGAAGCAAAATAAAATATTAAAACAACATTTCAAAATTAAAATTACAAAAATATCATCATCTGCCTTTCTAAACTTAGAATTATATTATCACTAAGAAGATAAATTCCATTGATTGTTATTCACTATATTAATGACAAGAAAAATATCTTTATCAGTGAATCTTACCGTAGAACTGACTGACAGCCCTGTGTATCTTACTATTAGTAACTTTAACCAAAGTTAATGAGAGGTACAGCCTTGCTCTTTAACCCGTAAGGCGCGCGTCTGGGGCGACTCAAGACGCAGGATCGATCCTACCCAACTGCACCAAAGATTTGATCTTAGATGTATCCCCTTATGTTGATTTCATTGTGTACACGAGCTAATGTTTCAGATGAACCGTCTCACTTTAAACTTAGGTTTAAAACTATAGTGAACTATACAGTGTACGCTAAAGCTGTGGTTGATCGATCAATACACAGCTATAGCTTGATCAACTAAAAGATTAAGATCACTTAGTATTTATAGATCAACTGAAGAACTTTATCTTAATGTATGCTGCCTACGTCTTGGAGTTAAGATCTTTGTATCTGTCACCTTCAGTTATTAATCTCAAGCCCCCCCCCCCACACACACACACACACGAGCTGCTCCACTGATTGATTGATTGATGAAGATTCAGCCACCCAAGAGGTGGCACGGGCATGAATAGCCCGTAATATTAGCTCCATTGGCCTTCTATTATCTACTTCTTGCTCATTGTTTCTGGTCCAAGGTCGGCGTAGGACCTCCAATCAATACTTTATATTTATCACAATATTTTCGTATAAGTTACATACGCAGATTTGCCAGCTCTATGATAAAAATAGATTTTTAAAAGGAAAACTGACCTCGGACATTGTTTGTCAGTAGTCTGGGTGAAACTCTGCTCCGCTGCCTCGCTCGTTTGGTTCAATCACTAGCGTAATTTCCAACAATAAAAACTAGGAATTTCTAGGAACTGGTCATCAAGATAGAGAGAGAGAGAGAGAGAGAGAGAGAGAGAGAGAGAGAGAGAGAGAGAGAGAGAGAGAGAGAGAGAGAGAGAGAGAGAGAGAGAGAGAGAGAGAGAGAGAGACAGACAGAGAATCTCAGGTCACTGTTGTGGTTGAGAAAACACAGATGATAACAATATATAATTCATATTGCAGGTTAACTTGGGACAGGTTCATATTGGGAACAAATTTGGTGTTCAATGATGAAGTTGACATCTTAGGAAAGAGGTTAGACCCTTCAGTGACCATAATTAACTACGTCCTTAACGTAGGAAGACTTGAAACTTGCCGCCCAACGGCTCCACTCCTGATCATGCACCGCTCTCTTGGATGGCCTGAACCAGTCTTCCAAAGGTGGGAAAGGGGACGAGGAGACTCACCTCCAGTCTTCACCCAGTCTGTTATGTATTAAGGCCAATAATTTCAAATCGCCTCACCTGGCCCAACTTCGTAGACAACCAGAAGTTAGCAACTACAACACAAGACGCTCAATAATTAATAGCCTCATAGTAACAGCGCCTTTCTCAAGAATAACACTCCATCAGCGATCATTTAATCTTAGGCTAACGATACATTTTGGAACATGTTCGCTCAACACGTAGATACGCAATAAGCTCATCAAATAAGATGAGGTTATTATTTTACTATTCAGTTACATTAGAAGCATTGGCACCATTCTTAATGGACCTAAAAGAAAAAGATAAGATATAGAAAGAATCTAAAGATATAGATAAAGATATAGATAAAGATATAAAGAACCATAAGATATAGAAAGAATCACAGAGGCGCAGAAAGAAGCACAGAACGGGACAAAGAAGACGATAACGGAGACACAGAAGGAAACACAAAAGGTGACACGGAAGAGACAAAAAGAGTAAAAGATAGACACAAAAAAGGCAAAGAGATAAAGCATAAAAGGTCAGGAAGAAGAGTTCCAATACGCAGCAATACGCAGCAGGTGCGTCACTTTCGTACTCACTTTCCCTCTCCCATTTGTCTTCTTGACTACACGAGATCGAGGCTCTCGGCCATCGCCATATGGCAATACTATCACACTAAGGCACTACCATCAATCCATGGCACTACTATCAATCCATGGCACTACTATCTCTCTATGGCACAACCGACTCCCTCAGGCATTAACAACTCCCTAAGGCACTAATAACCCCTAATGGTACTGCCAATAATCCATGGCAGTAATATCAGATAATGGTATTACGATTAACCTTTGACACTACCATCACACTATTACGCTACCATCACAGTATAGCATCATCGTCACCCTGTAACACTACCTTCACCTTATGGCACACCCTCTAGTGTGTGTGTGTGTGTGTGTGTGTGTGTGTGTGTGTGTGTGTGTGTGTGTGTGTGTGTGTGTGTGTGTGTGTGTGTGTGTGTGTGCACTCACCTAGAAGTGCTTGCAGAGTCGAGCTAGGCTCCTAGCCCGACCTTCCGAACGTTCCTAGATCAATGCAAAAACTCCTTTCTTACGTTTTAATCATTTTAACACACAAACACACACACACACACACACACATTTAAAACTTTGAATCTATTTAGCTTCCACGACTTGTGCGTCTAACATATTCACTTAAGACCAGCTCTACCACTAAACAAGTTTGTTTTCTGGCGTCTCTATGACTCATTTGCGTTTCTAGTTTCCATCCTTGACGCCTCGTTCTGCTGTTCCTAGCTTTGACCAATGCTGCTTTGTCTACTTTGTTAGTTTCCAACAGAATCTTATATGTTGTTATCATGTCCCCTCTATCTCTCCTTTTCTTCAGTGTGGTATGGTCCAGTTCTCTCAGTCTTTCCTCGTAGCTCAATCCCCTCAGCTCCGGAACGAGTCTTGTTGCATATCTTTGGACCTTTTCTAGTTTCTCCTTGTCCTTCTTCAAGTAAGCGTTCCAGGCTAGGGGATGCATATTCAAGAGTGGATCTCACCTTCCCTATATATATATATATATATAGAGGACCCGTAAAACTGCCTTGTCCAAGTTTCCGGAAGATACACAGCTGTTGGCCAGTATGCCACATGCAACTGTTGTTATTCTGTTAGTGTGGGTTTCTGGCCTCATATTTGGGGGTAATGTCCCCTCCATAACTGATCGAAGAATTTCTCCTCCCTTCATCCTAAGCTATTATTTATAGTTCTTTATTTTTTCTTTATCACTTATCTATTATATCTCAGCTGTTATCTCTCATCTATCATCTATTATATCTCACCTATTATTATATATAAACTATTGAGCCTGCGGTCCCTTATAGAATAGTTGCAACATCGATCCCACATAGAAAAGTTGCAATACTGACCCGTCACAGAAAGACTGCAATACGGACCTCTCATTCAACAGATGCAACACCTCTCCCCCCCCCACCCCTGAAGAACGGTTCCAACACCGACCTCTCACAAAACGGTTTAAACACCGTTTAAACTCTCTCCCTTTATGACCCCTCGGGATTCGAACCCTGGCCGCCGCGGGGTCTCCCCATAAACAGCGCTGGTACTCTGACCACTGCACCATAGATGATCGCTGGTGCAGTAGTCATGTGGAGAACCGCGGCGCCCTGGGTTCGAATCCTGAGGGTTCACAAAGTTTAACTGATTCTACGCTTAGGGACCAATCAAGCTGGGCATACCTTTAAGAATATTTGATTAGGAACGACAGTATTGCTGGAATTGTTGAGCTTATAATGTACGCTCTCTATGCTTCTATTTTCTAAATATCAGAATAAGGAAGAAGAATCACGTTACAAAGATTATGGTGAAGAAATTCTCGCAATTATTGGAGGGATTTATTTTCTGCAACGTTTCGTTCTCTGGAATATTTTCCGGAACGAAAACGATGTAGAAAATATATCTTTCAATAATTACTAGTTTCTTGACCAGGAATTTGGGTAACTTGACAGCTCTTCTTAATACTGGTATTAGGAAAGTAGTTAGATGCATAGAAAGCCTACACTTTAAGATCAACAACGCCAGTAATGGGGTAATATTTAACCAAATTTGTTTGAGGGAACGCCTGCTGCCCAAGTATACAAATATATATATATATATATATATATATATATATATATATATATATATATATATATATATATATATATATATATATATATATATATATATATATATAATCTCTATTTCTGTGTCTTCCTTCTCTCTCTCTCTCTCTGCTACAATATCACTTTAATATCAAATGTCTCATAATTAATGTAATATACAAAGAATAAAATTGTTTCTCGTTGGCTTTGAGGAGTAGTGGGAGGAGGAGGCTTGGAAGATGGTAGAGGCTCGGCAATAACTTGTGTCTTCGTACTTTACCACCAAGGTATCATGAAATATTTTTAAAAATTTCCCGAAATATGTTAAAATACTATAATACAAAATTTATTAAAATTATTTGGGGAAAGAGGTGCCGGTGTCACTGCCAAAATCGGAGTGCTGGTGAGCATGTGACTGGCACACGGTTTTCTCTTGAAATTTGGCGACCATGACGCGCCCTGTTGGGCACGTACCCTACAGGAATCATTGTGCAAAGTTGGGTGAGGCTAGCCCCCAAGCGGCAATAAACCTCTCTTATTAATATATAAATAAATTCACGTTTTCATTTCCAATGTGAAGAGAAACGCGTGCAACAGATGCAGATGAGAACACGACAACGCTTGACCATGGCCTGAATTATTTCCACTAACCTCTATATGTTTTCTCCGATTATTTGCAACTTTTGCAATTTTCATCTGTTCGTAATCAGAAGCAAAAAATATATGTTCCAGTGTTATGACGGAATGTCAGAATACAGTTTAGACCCAATATTTTAGTCAATCAAAGATCGAACCCGATATATTTGGTAATGACGACAACCTTCCCATGGAGGCAGCAGAGGGTTGTTGAGATTGTCGCAGCTACTTACCGTGCATTTGGGGAATTCCTCAGGTGCTCGTACTTCTTTCCAGCCTAGCAAAGGCGGGATGGAGACCAACCCGGAGAAGAGCCACACCGCCACGATCATGATGGCTGCACGCTCGGGGGTCCTCTTCTTCAGGTAGGCCACTGCGTGTGTAATGCTCCAATAGCGGTCTAACGAGATGAGGCAGATATTGTTTATGGAAGCTGTTGATAAAAGGACGTCTATAGCGGCGTGTAGCTCGCACCAGAGGTCCCCAAACATCCAGTACCCCATCAGGAGGTTGGCGAGACTGAAGGGCATGATAACGAGCCCTAACAGAAAGTCCGACACTGCCAAGGAGGCGATGAACCAGTTGGTGATATTTTTTAGTGCTTTCTCTGTAGCGATGGCGATGATAACCAGCATGTTACCGACCACCACCACAATCATAGCTACAGTGATGATAACGGTGATGACGACGATCTCCAGGGTACTGTAGCCCGAAGGGTACATGGACCCACCCCAGGGATACACCCAATAGGTCCCATTGTTCGTGTCGTTGGTCAGCGCTAAGGACCCGTTCGTGTCGAAAACTTCCAACCCTTGGTCGTATATACCTCCATACTCCAGGAAACCGGAAGAATCCTCTACTTCAGCTGTAAGGTTGACAGTTAAGCCATCCATGGTTCAGATCTTGTTTTGACAACTAAGAGACATTGGATTTAGACAAATCAGGCTTGTCGCAGGCTGATCTGGGAAGACTGGTAGACGGGAGGACCAAAAACGGGAGATGACAGACAAGACGAGATGCAGAAAGTTGAGAAGCCAGAATGTTGTCGAGTAAGGCTTGGTGAAAGGTCCTTGGCGGGTTGTGGGAAATTTAGTCACCCCCTTTGGACCAATATGAAGATAGAAGTCTACATATTTGCTCTTGTAGACGAGTTCATTCATTTAAAAGAAAAAATAAATTTCTTCAATTTTCTCTTGCACTAAAGATATTTTCGATTTTTTTCAGTACAGTGTACTTCTAATTTGGTCAAAAATTCTTGTAAATAAATTAAAATAGACATTGATTTCTTCTTCTTGAATATGCTTCGATTTTGAAATAAACCATTTTGCTCTTCGATGATTTTTTCATATGTACTCCTTTTCCGTCTCTTCAAAGCTGTACAGATTGCAACACTCACCTACATCCCTTGAAATATTACACACTCCCCAGGTGGGAAACATTCTATCGTCGGCTGGAAAACTTCTTGATCTTGTCACATGCAAGCGCTCATCCCAACAGCGGTTAGTGCTGACTGCCACCACACGAGGCTACTAGTGTAGGCTGCCACCACACGAGGCTACTAGGGTAGGCTGCCACCACACGAGGCTACTAGGGTAGGCTGCCACCACACGAGGCTACTAGGGTAGGCTGCCACCACACGAGGCTACTAGTTAAGACTGCCACCACACGAGGCTACTAGGGTAGGCTGCCACCATACGAGGCTACTAGGGTAGGCTGCCACCACACGAGGCTACTAGTGTAGGCTGCCACCACACGAGGCTACTAGGGTAGGCTGCCACCACACGAGGCTACTAGGGTAGGCTGCCACCACACGAGGCTACTAGTGAAGGCTGCCATCACATGATGCTACTAGTGAAGGATGACAACACAATAGGCTTCAAGTTTCCTGCTCCCGCTGTTCATTGCTTGTGTCCAGCGTCTCACAATCACCCAACAAAAATTTCAGACGGGACAGTGATGTTACTTTCTACCTGCCAGTAGTAAAATGTGGGAATAATAATAATACTCACACGCAACATAAACTTATTCATTGGCTTAACGCAATTTTTTTTCTCTTCACTTTCTTGCAGAAAATCTGTGATTTATGTATATAATATGTAATTGTTGACGCAATCTGGTCTTATGTGATTGGTGACATATATATATATATATTGTATTTTTCTGTAAAGGATTTTGAATAAATGCTAATTGTAATTTAAGCACCAGTTTATTGCAATAATGGTTCTAGGCTAACTTGTTTTCAAAATTACAATGCGTAATTGGCTTAAATAACATTATCTTCAGTAACATTATATTATTATTTGTGAAGGAGTGACATCAATAATTTTGTACTAGTCATCAGTTGAAATATTTTACACCTTCTCTTATTTAAATTTATCCTGTGATAGAACGAAGCTTCGAAGCACTCAGCAATCCTAGGAGTAGGATGAAACAATCCTTGTATCTTCTAATCACCATCCTGATGGACTGATGGGCTATGCACGTGTGTAACTCAAGTGAGCCGAAAAAACATTCCCACACCGCCACCACCACATACGAATCATCTCGTTACGAAAAATCCCTCTCTCGCACCGCCCGGTGGAGTACGAGGACAGGTCAGTACCGGGACCTCCTTCATAGTGATGGCTGACTCACGCCCCGACACCGGTAACTGACGCAGACACTGGTGTGTGTGTGTGTGTGTGAAGTACGTACACGAGGTTCGCCTGGAGGGGTGTGGTGGAGGGGGGTAGGGGAGTAAGGTAAACCGGTTGGGATGGGTAATGTTGAGCCGAGTGCGAGGAAAGGTGTGGAACACGCGTCCGTTCTCTATGACTGCGTGGCGCTGACTGGCCGGGCCAAGCCACACCATACGTGCTGCGAGCGACAGATCGCGCACCCCCCCACACATCAAGTTATGACATGGCCCTTCTTTCCCTCTCTCTCTCTCTCTCTCTCTCTCTCTCTTTCTCTCCATTCCTCCCTCACCCCATTCTCCCCAGAGGCCTCCGGTACTAACTCCACACCTACTTGAAACGACTAGCCCGGCTATCCATCCCTAACTACTACAATCTATAGCTCATAGTGACGAGCTTCCTGCGTACACGTAACAAATCTGTTGTGATATTGTGTTCAGAGTGAAGTCCTCGATGGGCATGCAACAGGCTTCTTTGTTGATTTGTTGATTGTTTTATTTGTAGGAAATAGGATTTCGTGACGAAGCAATGATGACGGGGAAATTAGATGGTACATTTTGTTGAACCTGTTGATTCTCTGTTCACGGGAATATTCACGCTGTTCTGTTCTCACGCTATCCTGTTCACGCTCAGGAATCTGTTCACCAGTTGATTGACAGTTGAGAGGCGGGACCAAAGAGCCAAAGCTTAACCCCCGCAAGCACAAATAGGTGAGTACAAATAGATGAGTACACACACACACACACACACACACACACACACACACACACACACACACACACACACACACACACACACACACACACACACACACACACCTATATGAAGTGGAGTACAGTGTGTCAAAAAGCTAGCTACATCTCCATCACACAGGATGGTTAGTCGTACAGAGACATGTGATAGGCAGTCTGCACTGGCAGACTCCGGATGCATTATGAGGATATCATCAACACAAGAGTGAATAAGGTAGCAGTAATACTAAAAGTCCCCATCTCGCAGGATAATTAGTCATACAGGGCCATATGTTCAGTATCCTGCACTGGCAAATTTTGGGTACACTGTGAAGATATCTTCAAGAATACGAGTATGAATAAACTTTATTCATCAGATACAAGCACTGAAAAACGGTAAAGTCTACGGGAACAACACCGTTGATTTCGGACATAAAAATCACAGGTAAATTCACTATCTATGCCGATATTTATTAAAATGAGGAACTGGGCCGACCCCAACTGGCCCATGACATGCCCAGCCCAGCCCTCCTCTCTCCACGATTCATCTTGGAAAATTGTATGAGGACAGACCCAAGCGTTTGGCCTCGAACCTCAGACAGACATTATGTGGTTTGTAGATGAACGACTCCTTGGCAAGAGCCAAGTTGTTTATTTTAAATGCTTTGTGAGAAAAGATTTATTTGCGCTGAGATAAAGTAATTATTAGAAGAGAACACTAAATTAATATAACTATACAGCTCTTGGAAGGAATATAATGACAGACCTTAAGAGCTGGGATATGACGAAGAGGATATTTAAGGAACTGTACCCAAGTGATTTGGACTATGGGGGGATCGAACGCCGACTCTGCAAGAAACGAAGCCGTTGCTGTACCGGTCAAGTGAATGGTTGTATTATTACTAAATAACTATTAGCTTCTGACGTTTGGCATACAGCCTAATGCCTATTTGTCTTGAAAAAAGATATTCCGGAAACCTATATTTAGAATCCTAATCAGAAAGTTATGTTAGGTTAGGTTAGGGCGCCGTTCTTCATCCACCAGCTACTGGGTAACCTGTAAGTAAATCGTAATGTTTTGCTATAACATAAGGCAATAAGAACAATTAAGAGTACTTTTAGAATTAAGAGTCAAAGAGTACTTTTAGCTTGCAACCAAGAGTGAGGACGTTGAGTTGCTGTGCGTGTACCGTCCACTGTGTATATATTAAGTGTATTCAGATGAGCTCCTCGTGCCTAGAGTCACAAGCCGTAGCAATGAATTTATCCTCCAGATACTAGCAAACTAGTTTGGTATAGTGTTGAGTTTAAAGGCACAACCAACCACTGGACAGTTGTCGAGGTCGTGATAACTAGCTTCCCATCTAACCAGCAAGAGCACAGTTCAGAGCCAAAGTAAACCAGTATACACACACAAAAAAAGAATACTGTTCACGAGTATACGTCCCTGTAAATTTAACTGCTAAAGGAATTACTATCTAGATAGACTTGACTACGACAGCATCAGATTTAAACCCGTTCAATAAACACTCCGACACCGCACCTTTCAAGAACCAACAGCGGTAAATCTTTTGAACTACCCCACACAAGTTTGTAAATTTAACTTGGACGTAATTGTTAATTTTTGTTCATCTCCGGTTAACTGCGAATTCCTGCCACTGCCAAAATTTCAATTTTACTTCGAATGAAATTATTTATTTCAAGTTGACCAGACCACACACTAGAAGGTGAAGGGACGACGACGTTTCGGTCCGTCCTGGACCATTCTCAAGTCGAGAGAGATCCAGGACGGACCGAAACGTCGTCGTCCCTTCACCTTCTAGTGTGTGGTCTGGTCAACATACTTCAGCCACGTTATTGTGACTCCTCGCCTGCATATTTATTCTAACATACTCTGGGTCTCTATATTCACAAATTATATTACGAAAAGCGATCTGTGATCTGCTTACGAGCTCTGAAGTGTAAGAAGGTCGTTGGGAACCGTATTAACAACCTTCGGAGTTGCGACACATGAGACGTTTTGTGAATACAGACTAAACTGCCATTGTCAAGGTAAGAGGTCCACACATACCTCTTATGTTGAGACCTAAGTGCTCTACGAAGCTGACCCAGGTCATGACCTTTGGTCTGATGTTACCGGTATATATTGCCCGTCTGACCGTGGTTATCCGAAAGCAAAAGTGATGATGGGTATGCTGACTCCTTCAAGCGTTGGGCAGCCATGAAAAACCACGACACTGACAGCCATGAAAAACCACGACACTGACAGCCATGAAAAACCACGACACTGACAGCCATGAAAAACCACGACACTGACAGCCATGAAAAACCACGACACTGACAGCCATGAAAAACCACGACACTGACAGCCATGAAAAACCACGACACTGACAGCCATGAAAAACCACGACACTGACAGCCATGAAAAACCACGTCACTGACAGCCATGAAAAACCACGACACTGACAGCCATGAAAAACCACGACACTGACAGCCATGAAAAACCACGACACTGACAGCCATGAAAAACCACGACACTGACAGCCATGAAAACAACAACACTGACAGCCATGAAAACAACAACACTGACAACCATGAAAAACCACGTCACTGACAGCCATGAAAATCACGACACTGACAGCCATGAGAAGCGAGATAGATAGCGACCAAAGAACTGATGATATCACAAAGTCAGACAAACGACCGTACTGGCAATCCCCTTCAAAGTAGCACCGCGACCAGCCTATTGTGCTCAGACTTTGTTAAATAACAAATATTTTCTCATTTTTTCACGGTGTTGACAGAATAAGAAGTAGCGTAGATATCCGACTATTTATTTTAGACATTTCAAGTAAATCATTTTTGTTATCTAAATCACTAAGAAAGTACATGTATTTAATTATATAAGGTATCAACAAAATATATATATATATCGTCTTGATTAATATATAGAAGCATGGGGGTCATTACCTTGAAAAGGGATATATATCTATTTTGGAAGAAGTTCTATTCGGAGTGACAAAAACCTTCTCTAAAATTAAGTTACCATTCCTTTCCCCCGTCCCACCCCAAATCCTTATCCTAAGAGCCCCTTCCAAGTGCTATATAGGCATAATGGCTTGGCGCTTTCTCTCGACAGTTCCTTTCCTTTCCCTTCTAATAGAGGACTGACCAAGGGGCCCCTGAGGACTAACAATGCTACAAACCAGACACGACCAGGCTCATCTCGTCAGGATCTTTAAAATATTAAATCAATTGGAAGATATTAATCGGGAGCACATCTTATAATGAACCAATTTAACACACAAGGAACAACAGTGCCAAGCTCAACAAGCCACTATGTTCAGAGGGTCGTTGAACTTGATGAACAAGTCACAAATAACAGGGGAAAGGTTTTTCACCCATAGGGTTATGGGTATTTGGACTAGGTCTACCCACAGGGTTATGGACTAGGTCTACCCCCAGGGTTATGGACTAGGTCTACCCCCAGGGTTATGGACTAGGTCTACCCACAGGGTTATTGACTAGGTCTACCCCCAGGGTTATTGACTAGGTCTACCCCCAGGGTTATGGACTAGGTCTACCCCCAGGGTTATGGACTAGGTCTACCCACAGGGTTATGGACTAGGTCTACCCACAGTGTTATAGACGAGGTCTACCCACAGGGTTATAGACGAGGTCTACCCACAGTGTTATAGACGAGGTCTACCCACAGTGTTATAGACGAGGTCTACCCACAGTGTTATAGACGAGGTCTACCCCCAGGGTTATGGAGTAGGTCTACCCACAGGGTTATAGACGAGGTCTACTCCCTATGGACTAGGTCTACCCACAGGGTTATAGACGAGGTCTACCCACAGTGTTATAGACGAGGTCTACCCACAGGGTTATAGACTAGGTCTACCCCCAGGGTTATGGAGTAGGTCTACCCACAGGGTTATAGACGAGGTCTACTCCCTATGGACTAGGTCTACCACAGGGTTATAGACGAGGTCTACCCCCAGGGTTATGGTCTAGGTCTACCCACAGGGTTATAGACGAGGTCTACTCCCTATGGACTAGGTCTACCCACAGGGTTATAGGCTAGGTCTACCCCAAGGGTTATGGACTAGGTCTACCCCCAGGGTTATGGACTAGGTCTACCCCCAGGGTTATGGACTAGGTCTACCCCCAGGGTTATGGAGTAGGTCTACCCCCAGGGTTATGGACTAGGTCTACCCCCCGGGTTATAGACTAGGTCTACCCCCAGGGTTATAGACTAGGTCTACCCCCAGGGTTATGGACTAGGTCTACCCACCCGAGCCATTAATACCAACACAAATCTCAACTGCAAAAAAAAAATTGTCAGTAACAAATTGGGAGAATTTTGACAAACCTCTGGCTTCTTGTCCCCCTTAGTGACCACTGGAATAAGTGCCCCATCAGGTAAATTCGGGGCAAATATAGTGATATAGTCCCATATCACATATATAATTTTAAACCTGACTTGAAAACATTACATACTGCATATCATTCTTTTAGGAGGACTATGACGTTATGTTATGGTTCAAAGTTCCGGTATTCAGTACTGGTATACCAGTACTGGTATACCGGTATACTTATTGATATATAAGATATCAAGATCTTAGGCACTCTTATATTTCCAAGGAATGATGAATATAATGCTATCATGGTGACATTTACTATCGTGGTTCCGTGTATGACATACAATCATGGCTTTTGTCTATACATTATCATCCTGGGGCTATGTATACATTGTTACGGTGTTGCTATGTATATAGTACCATCATTGTGCCATTGATGGAGTTTCCCTCATGGTGTATACCCATATCATGGTATACACTGCGAAATACAAGTCAACTATCACGTCGAAATGAATACAGAGCTATTAAGGTGCTATGTATATTTAATGTTCAGGGTATCATATATATATACAGAAGTATCATGGTGGCATGTATATACTCCCGGAAAAACTACAAAAAATACATGTTTGTGTATATTTCTTGTATACATATAATCAGCTTAATTTCATGTACACATTTCCATTATTTTTAACAGTATTAATATGAAAAATATGTATCATCAGTAATTGGAAACATAATTAAATACACAATTATGGATGGTTTGTCGTAAGCGTTTGATCTGGTCTGATGGCATCGTTACAAAAACTGCAAATTGATTGGCTGTTTAGCGGGCAAGATGATTGTATTTATTGTTTATGTTGTGACGGAGGAAGATTATATGATCATTCACAGAAGGAAATGAATGAACATAAATCGTCTTGATAATGGGTTCAGATGTTCATCTTGTATGATTATAAATAAGGACAAAATACATTGTCTGGATGTTCTACCTTATTTGAAATCACCGGTTTGTGCCTCTAGGGTCGGTAGTTAGCTCTTGGACCCTGCCTTCATAGCCGCTGGTTGTTTAATGCCCCGATTCCTACATTATCCCTTTATCATATGTGCTTTTTATATTATGAATGGAGCATGCTTCTGCAACCTGCTCAATTGGCACATTCCATTTTCATACATTTTCATATATTTACTATTATGCTAAAAGACTCTTTCTTACATCTCAATAACTCCTCTGTTTCTCAAGATTCCAGCCTTGGCCTCTTGTTCCATCGGTATTCATTCACGTCATCTTTTTTCCACTCTGTCAATATCCTCTTTAATATTTAACAAGATTCAATGATGCCTCTTCTCTCTCCTTTTCTCCAGCGATGTCAGGTCTAGTTCTTTCCCTCTGTTTTCGTACTTCATTCTTCGCAATTCCTGTACGAGCCTCGTTGCAAGCCACTAAACTTTTCTAGCTTTCTTAAGTGTTTTTTGAGATGGGGGCTCCACGATGGGGCGGCATACTCTAAAACTGGTCTCATGTAGGCGGTGTACAACGTTCTAATTGCCTCCTTATTTAGGTTCCTAAATGATGTTTAGACTTTCGCTAGTGTAGAGTACGCTGCTGACGTTATTCTATTTACATGAGCCTCAGGAGTTGGGCTTGGTGTTATGTCCACTCCCAGGTCACCCAGCCACTTGGGCTGGACGGTAGAGCGACGGCCTAGCTTCATGCAGGTCGGCGTTCAATTCCCGACCGTCCAAGTGGTTGGGCACCATTCCTTCCCCGCCCGTCCCATCCCAAATCCTTATCCTGACCCCTTCCCAGTCTTATATAGTCGTAATGGCTTGGCGCTTTCCACTGAAAATTCCTTCCCTCCCACTCCCAGGTCTTTCTCTAATCGTTACAAGGATGCAGTTCCCGTCATTGCGTACTGTTCTTTCTTGTTTCCTGCTACTTTTTTGCCATTTTCCATCACCTTACATGTACTAGTGTTGAACTCTAATAGCTCTCTATGAACTTTAATGAACTCTCGAACCAACTCAGCGTTTGTCTAAGGCATCAGGGAGTATCATGCAGTCAACATATGACTCGCCTCTTATTAACTTTCATCATTCGCAAACATCAACATATGTTTGCGGATGATGAAATCAACGCCTGGGTCCCAAGCGTTGATTCTTAAGGGGTCCCGCTAGTTACTCAACGACTGTCCAACTTCTCGCCCCTCACTGTCACTCTCTGACTCCAGTCTGATTGATATTCTTCCACTCATGTCAATGCTCTTTCTACTTCTACCTGTGTGTGTGTGTGTGTGTGTGTGTGTGTGTGTGTGTGTGTGTGTGTGTGTGTGTGTGTGTGTGTGTGTGTGTGCGCGCGTGTGTGTGTGTGTGTGTGTGTGTGTGTGTGTGTGTGTGTGTGTGTGTGTGTGTGTGTGTGTGTGTGTGTGTGTGTGTGTGTGTGTGTGTGTGCCCTTGTCCCGAGCTCTAGCCCTTGGACCCCGCTTTTCTAACCGGTGGTTGTCTAATGCAGTGCCTCCTGACCTAGTTCCCTCTTATACCTGCTTTTAAAGTTGTGAATTGAGTTTGCCTCTACAACTTGCTCATTTAGGACATTCCATTTGTTCACTACCCTTACCCTGCGTGTATGGTCACGTGTGTGGTCATGTGTGTGATCATGTGTGTGGACACGTGTGTGTGTGTGTGTGTGTAGTCACATTTGTGTGGTGTAAATGTGCAATCCTGAGATAACATGGCGCTAAAACTCTCAAAAGTATTACTCTTAATATATAAATAATTATATCTTTACAATTACCTTTATTAACTTATTCGAACTGTTTTTAGCTTCCATTGATCAAAGTATTTGCCGCAAACTGCCAAATAATGCCAATATTTATCACAACAGCAACGAAATAAATTAATCAAAAAACGTGTCATTGACCTTTGGAAAAAATTAACATAGCAATAAAGGTCATAGCTGGTAAAATAAAATAATTTTGGTGAAGGTGCCGTTACAACGTGGGATTTTTACATTATTGAGATACAATTTCCATTTTTTTTATTAACTGACAAATTAGAGCTGCAGTGGATCAGACTGTAGTTCACGGTATAAATCTCTCATTCATTATTCAGTTCTCACTCCAGTCATAATTATATTGTAAGGATCTCATAAACTAAGTTATTTTTTTTTTAAATAACTAAACCAGAAACATCATACATGGAAAGTTTTAGATAAAATCTCGTCAGCATATGCTTCAAGTCTTATGGAAATACACACAGTGGTATATTGCCTATAATGGCCAGGGGTAGTGCCTATAATGGACAGGGGTAGTGCCTATAATGGCCAGGGGTAGTGTCTATAATGGCCAGGGGTAGTGTCTATAATGGCCAGGGGGTATATTGCCTATAATGGACAGTGGTATATTGCCTATAATGGATAGGGGTAGTGCCTATAATGGCCAGGGGTAGTGCCTATAATGGCCAGGGGTAGTGCCTATAATGGCCAGGGGTAGTGCCTATAATGGCCAGGGGTAGTGCCTATAATGGACAGGGGTAGTGCCTATAATGGCCAGGGGTAGTGCCTATAATGGCCAGGGGTAGTGCCTATAATGGCCAGGGGTAGTGCCTATAATGGACAGGGGTAGTGCCTATAATGGCCAGGGGTAGTGCCTATAATGGCCAGGGGTAGTGCCTATAATGGACAGGGGTAGTGCCTATAATGGCCAGGGGTAGTGCCTATAATGGCCAGGGGTAGTGCCTATAATGGCCAGGGGTAGTGCCTATAATGGCCAGGGGTAGTGCCTATAATGGCCAGGGGTAGTGCCTATAATGGCCAGGGGTAGTGCCTATAATGGCCAGGGGTAGTGCCTATAATGGCCAGGGGTAGTGCCTATAATGGACAGGGGTAGTGCCTATAATGAGGACCTTCGGGAGGTGAGGAGGTCAAGGTGGAGGAGGGGAAGACAGAATGGTAAGATCAGATATTATGCCTGTCAATGGAAGCAGAATTAAACATCAGTTTAGTCTGCAGGGAATTCAGGAGGGGAGAGAACAGAATCAATGCTGAGTTTTCTTTGAATCTATTCAACAGGCTGTGTCTGTCTGTGTGACGCCGCAGCTCCTCTAAACACTCTCTCCTCTAATGATGCTTTCTTCGTCGATGATAAGCATAGACTCGTGTGGTGCTTCGTCGATGATAAGCATAGATTCATGTGGTGCTTCGTCGATGATAAGCATAGATTCATGTGGTGCTTCGTCGATGATAAGCATAGACTCATGTGGTGTTTCGTCGATGATAAGCATAGACTCATGTGGTGCTTCGTCGATGATAAGCATAGACTCATGTGGTGCTTCGTCGATGATAAGCATAGACTCATGTGGTGCTTCGTCGATGATAAGCATAGACTCATGTGGTGCTTCGTCGATGATAAGCATAGATTCATGTGGTGCTTCGTTGATGATAAGCATAGACTCATGTGGTGCTTCGTCGATGATAAGCATAGACTCATGTGGTGCTTCGTCGATGATAAGCATAGATTCATGTGGTGCTTCGTCGATGATAAGCATAGATTCATGTGGTGCTTCGTCGATGATAAGCATAGATTCATGTGGTGCTTCGTCGATGATGAGCATAGATTCATGTGGTGGTGCTCCTCATGGTTCCTTCATGATACATGAGTGTTAATTCTGCAATCGCCGGTGGTGAGCATTAGCGAACGAAGCGGCATCACATACGAGTCTATTTGCCCTAATTAGAAGTATATGCAAATTTGCTATTAAAATGTGCTGTAATAAACAGAACTCTGGTGACCTTCTATGTTGCAATGACCTATATAACCCAACACCCCTGTAGCCCGCACTGTGAGAGCCGTTGAGCGCTCATTTGTTTATATAATACGTGGCCTTTAATATATTGCTTTTCTTACTCTCATCGTGAATTTTAGATAGAACGTTATTAATTGTGGCTAGAACGCAGAGGGCCAAGACCCGAGGGGCCAAGACGCAGGGGGCCAAGACGCAGGGGGCCAAGACGCAGGGGGCCAAGACGCAGGGGGGCCAAGACGCAAGAGGCCAAGTTGAAGGGGCTCAAGATCCTAGGAGTTTGGCTTATCAATGATAAGACCAAGCACTCTTAAACAACAAAATACATGAATATTATCTAAGTAAATATCAGGTTCATTATAAATCATTAAGTTAAATCATGGGAGACAGAGAGAAAGAGAGAGAGAGAGAGAGAGAGAGAGAGAGAGAGAGAGAGAGAGAGAGAGAGAGAGAGAGAGAGAGAGAGAGAGAGAGAGAGGAGAGAGAGAGAGAGAGAGAGAGAGAGAGAGAGAGAGAGAGAGAGAGAGAGAGAGAGAGAGAGAGAGAGAGAGAGAGAGAGAGAGAGAGAGAGAGAGAGAGAGAGAGAGAGAGAGAGAGGCGTCACAAATACATTAATAATATCAAGTAAATGCAAAGGAACACACAAGAAAATTTATTTTAAATGTGTTGTTGTTGTTGTTGAAGATTCGCTACCTGGAACAAAAAGTTCCAAGCAGCACGGGCTATGGTGAGCCCGTAGTGGACTTGTATATTTTTAAATGTGTATTTGCATACTTGTGGACACACAACTCGACCAGACCACAACACTGCTCGACCACACCCCCCCCCCCTGCTCGATTCGCTACCTGGAACCCCCCCCCCCTGCTCGACCACACCCCCCCCCCCCTGCTCGACCCCCCCCCCTGCTCGACCACACCCCCCCCCTGCTCGACCCCCCCCCCCCTGCTCGACCACCGCACAACCCAGCATTAACCACAGACGTAAACTTCAGTTAATAAAACTTAAGATTTTGCCCGCCTATGATATTGTCCTTAGATAATCCCTTAAAGCTGCATTGGTCCTTTAGGAAGCTACGGGTATTTTGCCCATCACAATGGTCTTAGTTCTCAAAATGTCACCTTTTTTCTTTATATATATATATATATATATATATATATATATATATATATATATATATATATATCTTGTAACCATCAAATGCATAATAAAGTATATATATATATAAATATATATATATATATATATATATATATATATATATATATATATATATATATATATATATATATATATATATATAACACTCATTCACCAATATCTTTGGGGTTTTTATAGTCTTTGCGAATGAAAAACAAACAAGTTTACAGTAAAAATGAGCCCATTCGTCTCAAAGAGTCACGCAAAGAAAATAAATTATAGAGAAAAAAGGGCAATATTAGTGATAGGAGCGATATAAATGTAAAATATTGTTGTGTTGCAATGTTAACGGGATACGAAGCCCCGTTATTCTTACCCCGACCCCACCATAAGGCCGAGAACGGCTGTTCGCGCAGTCGCCAATTCAGTTAACGACCAGACCCAACGTTGCTGAAACTTAATGCATTCTTGAGGAGCGACAGTTCCTGCTAGAGGCAGGCCAGTATCTGTCAGAGGCCCCTCACTGCCTACAAGAGGCAGCCCCGTTCCCACAAGAAGCACCCAAGTGCTTGTTAGTATCACCCAATACATTCTAGAGTGTCCAACTGCCTGCTAGAAGCCCCCAGTGCCAGCTAGAAGTCTCAAGTGCCTGCTAGAAGCCCCCAGTGCTTGCTAGAAGCCCCCTGTGTCTGCTAGAAGCCCCCCGTGCCTGCTAGAAGCCCCCTGTGCCTGCTAGAAGCCCCCAGTGTCTGCTAGAAGGCCCCAGTGTCTGCTAGAAGCCCCCAGTGTCTGCTAGAATCCCCCAGTGCCTGCTAGAAGCCCCCCGTGCCTGCTAGAAGCCCCCAGTGCCTGCTAGAGACATCCCAGTGCCTGCTAGCGGCACTCCGGTCCGTCAGTTTGAGGTTGGAAGTCAAACCACTTGGGACAAGCCTCATTCAAATTTACATGGTGACTACTGTTGGGTAGCAAGTACTCAAGTATGAACAAATCGAGATCGGACATATTTGACACAGTCAAACGCCAAATTTGTGCGTTGCATTTGACTGTCAAATGGATGTTTGCCACGTTTGACACAGTGACATGTGGCGCAGTTCTACAGGGAACACCATGACAAGTCTAGAATCAACTCCAATCTCGATCTTCTAAAATAAACAAATTCAAAATAATAATCTTATCGTGCGATTTCCAAAAAAAATACGCACTGATCTCAGAAAAATTATAAAAAAAATTATACTCATCAAACTTCGATCAGAAAGAACTCATGAAATGATGATGACATATTGAGACGTCGTGGAAAGCAATTGGCCAACATAGCCACCAGCACACACTTACTGGTTTCATATGTCCGAAACTCGAGTCCAGTTCAAGAGCAGAAAGTGGAGTCTCAGATGAGACAAAGAGAGAAACTGACAAGGGATAGAGATAGATGGAAACAGAGCAGACAGATACAGGAAGACAGACGCAGAGACAGACAGATACACAGAGAGAGAAGAGATGTGTTAATATTCGTTGGGATACCGTATATATATATTTTCATCTATTTTTGAACTTCTCATAATTTGTTTTTTATTTATGTTTTCATTCGTTTTGTAGAATAATGACGGGTCGACCCGAGCACTACCAGGTACCCCAATATAACATTTATATAAAAATTTTGCAACCCCCAAAAAATGTAACTACTGCATTTTAATGCACTTCTGAATATATCCACACATACACGTAATAAAACAAAACAAAACAAAAATAATCCAACATGCAATTCCACATAAAAGGAATATATATATGTTGGTTGTTTATTACTCACTCTATCTCAACCCTACTGTACACATTCCTCGCTACACAGCCTGGTGTAGAGCAGTAAAATGCACCATCAAACGCAACGGTAAAGAAAATGAAACAACACAGTATCATTCCAGTTTTTCCAGCAAGTCACAGACACGAATTACTAGGGTATATACCAGGATGATGTCAGGCGGTAGGTATATACATACCAGCACGTCGTCGGGGGGGGGGGGGGCCGAGTATACATATCAGGACGTATATGCTGGCCGACTGTGTATATACCAGTAAGGAATATATCCGTACATATATCAGTACGGTATATACTTACCGTACAGTACGGTATATATCCGTGTTGATATATACGCAGTATATATCAACATGTATATATATATATGTTGATATATACTGCGTATATATCAACACGGCTGCAGGAGATTGGTATATAACCAGTTCGACCCGCAAGTTTTCTTTTCTTTTAAGAAAAAAACAATGTTTTCCTTACGGCTGTTTGGCACAAATCTTCACCAAAAAATGCAAAAATATAAAGCATTTCATTATTAAATAAAATAATGGTAATATTCCAGTCAGATCACCACAAAAATCACAATGGCGTGATATATCAATGACGAAAATCATTTTGAGGCAATGGGGGTGACTTGAACCTGCGTTTTTGTGGTTCCTGGACACCTGACCCTAACTCACTCAGCCACGATGGAACAAAAAGCCGACCAATCCGGAACTCTACATTGGTAATATTACTGCCAACTGCAGTTCTATTTATTAATATCGAGATGTCACTCATCTCGGGAAAAGCAGAAATAGGGAGACCTTCCCACTTCCTAACAGTACCCCCATGAAAGAAAACCTCCCCCCAACGATGCCCCATGAGGGGATCCCTCTCCCCTCATCCTAACCCCATTCCCTCCCCCCCCCCCCCATGAGAATTTACACCGACATAAATCACTTCCACCTATTGCGTGCTGTCGTATGTTTATGTGAATATATAGCTTAATTTTTGGCCACTTCGTAAATGAAGAGTCAAATAAATATAGGGTGAGCTTTAGTCACAGATAGTGGGAAAATGGAAGTTTTATTCGTGAAATCCAGCGTAGAGAATTTTATTTTAATTCCGCCAAGAGTACCTACGGGAGAAACTCTCTTTGTAGAGAGGGTCGGTGGATTCGAACTCTCGTCTTGGGTCTAGGGGGTGATCCAGGAAACGGGTTCGATCCCGCTGTCCTGCTCCAAACATTTTCTCAATCAGATATATCGGGTTGTTGTGGTTTCGTCGTGTACCTGCTGGAACGTAAGGGACATAGTGCAAGGCTTATGGCCAGCCCGTCCGCAGCAGTGGTTTAAGTCTAGTTTGGGATGCATTCTGTTTGTCAAGACGTAAGATAAATACCTAGAGACTAGTTTGCAACGGTGTTGCTCAAGAGCAACATTTAGAGCAAGGGAGCCGGTCGGCCGAGCGGACAACACGCTGGACTTATGATCCTGTGGTCCTGGGTTCGATCCCAGGCGCCGGCGAGAAACAATGGGCAGAGTTTCTTTCACTCTATGCCCCTGTTACCTAGCAGTAAAATAGGTACCTGGGTGTTAGTCAGCTGTCACGGGCTGCTTCCTGGGGGTGGAGGCCTGGTCGAGGACCGGGCCGCGGGGACACTAAAGCCCCGAAATCATCTCAAGATAACCTCAAGAAAGGTTTGCAATATACATACTCAAAGGCATGTTTTATGGTTACGTTGTGGTCGTGTACTACTCGTTTTTTTTTTTTGTTATATGTACATGAAAGGCGTTTCATGTACATATGGAGACTTTCTTCCATTGGAGACTTTCAACGCCGTGGAAAGGGGGCACCTGCTGCATGGTTAACAGCTTCTCCCCCGTGT